GCACTGTGAACAACCCAGGATCCAGCGCTGGGAAATAGAGCCCTGGGTCACTGATTGAAAACACCTGTGGGGGTTGAGGCCCAGGGAGATACTCCCAGCCCCAAAGGAGAGGGCCTTGGAAAGTCCCACGGGGTGAACAAGCCCACACACATGGGAACTGGCACCAGAGGGGCCCAGTTTGCTTGGGGGAAAGCGGCAGAAGGGACTGAGGTCCGATGAAGAGTGGAGCAAGCACCATTGTTCCTTCTCGGACCCCAACCCCACACACAGCATCACAACCCAGCAACTGGGGTGTCCCACCCTGGTGAACACCTAAGGCTCCACCCCTCATACGTAACAGGTATGACCAGACCAAGGGGGGGAGGGAAGATGGCTCAAATAGAATTGAAAGCCCCCCAATCAGTACTTTTAAGTGACTGAGAGATAGCTAACCTATCAGATGCACAGTTCAAAGCACTGATGACCAGGATGCTCATAGAATTGGTTGATTTTGGTTGCAAATTAGATGAAAAAAATGAAGGCTACAATAAGTAAAATGAAAAAAATGCACAGGGAACTAATAGTGATGGAATGAAAGCTGGGTCTCACATCAATGGAGTGGACCAGAAGAAAGAAAAAAAAACATACAACCAGAAAAGAATGAAGAAATAAGAATTCAAAAAAAAATGAGGAGAGGCTTAGGAACCTTCAGGACATCTTTAAATGTTCCAACATCTGAATTATAGGGGTACCAGAGGAGAAGAGGAAGAGCAACAAGTGGAAAAGTTATTTGAACAAATAACAAAGGAGAACTTCCCCATTCTGGCAAAGGAAATAGACTTCTAGGAAGTCCAGGAAGCTCAGAGAGTCCCAAAGAAGTTGCACCCAAGGAGGAACACACCAAGGCACATCATAATTACATTAGCCAAGGTAAAAATGAAGGAGAGATCCTAGAAGCAGCAAGAGGAAAGGAGACAGTAACCTACAAAGGAGTCCCCATCCGACTGTCAGCTGATTTCTCAAAAGAGACCTTGCAGGGAAGAAGGGGCTGGAAAGAAGTATTCCAAGTCATGAAAGGCAAGGACCTACATCCCAGATTGCTCTGTCCAGCAAAGCTTTCATTTAGAAATGAAAGAATGGAAGGGCAGATAAAATGCTTCTCAGATAAGTCAAGTTAAGGGAGTTCATCATCACCAAGTCCTTATTTTATGAAATGTTAAAGGGCCTTATCTAAGGAAAAGAAGACAAAAACATGTATAGTAAAATGACAGCAAACTCACAATTACTAACAACCACACCTAAAACAAAAACAAAAAGAAACTAAGTGAACAACTAGAACAAGAACAGAACCATAGAGATGGAGATCACATGGAGGGTTAGCAACAGGGGAGTGGGAGGAGGAGGAGAGAGAGAAAAGGTATGGAGAATAAGTAGCATAGATGGTAGGTAGAAAATAGACAGGGGGAGGGTAAGAATAGTATGGGAAATGTAGAAGCTAAAGAACTTACGACATATGGACATGAACTAAAGGGGGGGAATGTGAGTGGGAGAGGGTGTGCAGGGTGGAGGGGAAAGAAGGGGGGGAATGGGACAACTGTAATAGCATAATCAATAAAATATATTTTAAAAATAAATAAATAAAAAGGGTTTCAAATCTGAGAGCTTTTCTTTAGCCCAAAATGGTTTTTATACAAGGGTACCCAACCATTTATAATGCAAACATTTAAACATGAAAACACCCTCAATGGGTAATGATGAACTTGTGCTAAGTTAAGAAGGTGTCTTCTGTCTCAGAAAACCTGTTATAGTTTGACTTTTTATAATTGCAGTTCAGATTTACAGACAACAAGTGAGAAATAATCTCAAATGGCACATTAGACCCCCCAGCTCCACCCCAGTCAATGTTACCTTTCTGAAGGTCTTTAAAACATGTTTTATATCTCATCTTCTATATTTGCCCTATAAAAATTATTTTATAAAAACTTGTATTCCATGTCCTAGTCATAAGTTGTATTTTTTTTCTTTATGCTTATCTCAGCCTATAAAGTTGTGGTCTTCAACAGAGGGACTAAAAACATGTGTTCCCTTACTGGGTCCATAACAAAGCTAGGCTTTCCACAGGAGAAAAACAGCTTGGCTTATTACAATTCAAAAAAAAGCCAAAGAATAAAAGTACTCTGGCTAAATGAGCAAGTAAAGTGATTAGTCAGTTATTCTAGAGTTGGACAGAGCATGAGACAAGCTCCTCACCTGGGGTGCAAAGTTTAAGGAGACACTCACTGTTGGGGTCATGTGCATGCAGTGACAGCAGCTGAAAGTGAGTGCCTCCTTAAACTTTACACTCTGAGTGTCTTACCTGCTTCACCCTAGTCCTGGCTCTGTTCTGGAAGAAAAATATAATAAGGAAAGCCAATAAAATACCTATAAATAGAAATTATTTCCAAAATATTCCCTAGCCAGCAAGTAATTTTTTAGTATTTCATCTATTGATGTGCTGCCTGCTCATAATGGTAATCCAGAAAAGACTGACTTTTCCAGGGTATGAAGATATCACCACAACCACATTGACTTGGTTGAAGTATGGATAGAATGGCTGTAACTCTCAATTTTAAATGGCACATTATGTCAGACATCTCATCTCAGTCTGTGGTTAAGAAAATACTGTAGCTTGAATATGCACTGAGCTTGCATTCTAGTTGCTCTCTACTAATAGAAGTGTATCAAGTTAACTTGTGAGGATTGAAGCCACTATTGCACAACAGGAGACTGGGGCACAGAAAGACTAACACCTGCCATTCAAATTCCTTTGTCATGGCTGGAACAACCCATAGCTCAATTCTGTCTTGAGCTTTTCTACTGTGATCATGCTGCCCCTCTCCTTGGACCATAAATCACCTAAGATTCTTTTAAAAGAAAGTGGTACTAACAACAACAAAAATCTACATCAAACTGGTTTGAGCAAAGAGAGAATTTGCTGGTTCACACAACAAAATATTCTAGGAGATTCTACCTTTAGGTACGACTGGATTTAGGGCCCTAAACAATGGCCTCATGGCTGGGTTAACTCCAGCTGTTTGGCTTGGTTCTCCTGCTCCGTATATTAGCAAAATGATTACCAGCTCAAGTCCTAATTTTGGCTGAGGAAGACCTTGCCTTTTTTTCCAGTGGGTGTTCCACAGTTGCAGGTGGCATTTCATTGGCTCTGGCTGGATCACGTGCCATCTTAAAAATCATCACAATGACCAGAAGGAAGTGCTGCTCTTATTACCCAGGCCTGGGTCCCATGTCCCCTACCCCACACTCCCACCCCCAAGTATAGAGCCTACAACATCTGAAAGACTGGGGGCCCAAGAGTGGACATTAGGCTACTTTCATCAGAAGAAAGGGAAGTGGATGGTACCTGTATGAACAAGATATGCTATCAGTAGGCCTGAAGGGCAAGTTTTTCTTTTATTCCACTCTCTTAGTAAATTCAACTCTATTCTGTCTTCAAACTATAACTCTAGTGTCTGTGTTCAATAACCTTTTTTCTTGTGTGTAGCTCATTTAAAATTTTAGAAGATAAATAGTGAAAAAAAATTTGATGGGGATTTCCCTGCTGGATTTCAGACTTGTTTGAAACCCATGACCCCTTTTTTCTTTCCTATTTCTCCCTTTTGGGATGGAGCATCTATCCTATGTCTGTGTTATCATTGTTTTGGGAAGCACAAAATTCACTGTCTGATTTCACAGGTCCATAGATGTAGAATAATATTGCCCAGGGATGTTCACACAATAGATCTCAACTATAACTGACTTAAATGATTAAAATCATAAGATTTGGAACTTTGAGTTAAAGATATTTAGATGAGGTTTTTGGACTTAGGGTTGATACTGTAATTGTTAAGACCTTTTTGGATGTTGGGATGGGATGAATGTATTCTGCACATGGGAAGGACATGAATTTGAAGGGACCAGAGAGAAGACTATTATGGGTTAAATTGTGTCTCCCCAAAAGATACAATGGAGTGCTAACCCTTAGTATCTGTAAATATGACCTTATTTGGAAATAGGGTCTTTCATATGTAATCAGATTAAGATGATATCATACTGCATTAGAGTGGGCCCCAATCCAATATAATTAGTGTCTTTAAGAAGAGGGAGCCCTGGCTGGTGTGGCTCAGTGGACTGGACGTCATCCTGCAAACCAAGAGGTCACCGGTTCAATTCCCAATCAGGGCACACGCCTGGGTTGCAGGCTGGGTCCCCAGTACAGGGCATGTGAGAGGCAACCACACATTGATGTTTTCTCTCCCTTTTCCTCTCCCTTCCCCTCTCTCTAAAAATAAAAATAAAATCTTTAAAAAAAAGAAGAGGGAAATATGTACACAGACATAGAGTGAAGATGGCCATGTGAAGTCAGAGATAAAGCTTGGAATTATGTTGCCACAAGCCAAGGAATGTCTGGCATTGCTAGAAACTGGAAGCAGCAAGGAAGGATTTTCACCTTGAGGCTTTGTAAGGAACCTGGCCCTGCCAACACCTTGATTTTGCCCTTCTGGCCTCCAGCACTAAGAATAAATTTCTGTTGCCACCCAGATTGTGGTACTTTGTCATGGCAGCCTTAGGAATGTAATACTAATTCAAGTCTGACAAAAATGGTTTGCTGATCAACTATTTGTTGAATTGAATTGAAACCTAATTCAGAATATGAATGTAGTGTTCTGCCCATTTTGGGGATGTCTCATTGTCACCATCTTAAAACTTTTATTAGTAACTAAATGGAGAAAACATTTTCCTTTTCTTTCTTCCTAATGTCCTCAGAAATACAGATGAGAGGTAAATCATAACATGGCTCCTCTGAGCACCAAAACACTCTTTCCACAAGATGCACACATGTAAAGGATTTTCAGGTAATAAAAATAATCAAAAATATAAAATGAACTATAATGAATAATGTAAGTATTTAAAATTTACTCTAAGGAAGATTGTGAATTATATAGAATTGGTTTTAAGAATAACTTTTATATTTTTACTTTTTTACTTGTTGTTACAATAATGAGAGTAAATAATACAGAAAAATCATCCAATCATGTCTTCACCGAGCTGATTCTGATGAGTGGCAAAGCAGATTTATAAACATGTCTCCCTCATTAGCTGCTGAACAAAAGGAAGCCTGTGAAAGTTGTGTCATCATCCTCATCTGCAAACAATCCATTAAACCTCTCCCCTCCTGTCACCTGCATCCACACCTCGTCCCCAAGCTTCAGCTGCAGTACAATGCCGCTGGAGGCCTGGTCCTCAGAGCTGATATAACCGTCCTTGGTGTGCAGGACTTTTACCCCATTTTTGACTAAAGATACCTGTACATTCCTAGAGAAAACAGTGATATGGTAGGTGAAGTAATAGACCCCGGCAATGTGGCAAATGAATTTTCCTGTAGCTATATCGTAATGGTTGAATTCGTTATACAAGATCCTGTCAAACTTAATGGGTATGTCTGAAGAGGGAAACTTGCTCAGCACAGTGAGCCCCACAGTGAAAGCACTTTTTGGCAAGACTGGAATCTCACCAGTTTTCCCTTTTTCTCCTCGATCCCCTTTCCAGCCTCTCAATCCTCGGACTCCTGGCTCACCCTGAGGCCCCAGTGGCCCAGTATCTCCCTTGGGACCAGGCTTGCCAATGGGGCCTATGGGGCCAGGTAAACCAGTTGGGCCCAACGGTCCAGTGTTGCCCTTCAGCCCTTCTGGACCAATGGGACCCATATCACCTTTCCCCCCCTTTTGCCCTTGAGGACCAGTCTCTCCTCTGAGGCCTTTCTCCCCCATGGGGCCAACAAGTCCCTTGGGCCCATGTTTCCCTGGGGGTCCTCTGGAGCCTGGATCTCCTTTGATGCCTTTAGCTTCAACTTTTCCATTTGCTCCTAGGTAGGGGAAGAGAGAACAAAAGAAGCAATGATTTGGGAAACACTACCTTGTGAAAACAACTTTGGTTTTTCTACTATTGAGTATACAGGTGTGATAAAACAGTGTACAGTTTTGACATATATTCAGGGTTTGAGAATGTATTCACTCCTAAATTATGCACCTGTACATGCACCCACACAAAACACTACTAAACTAGTGTCAGATCTCACATAGAAAAGTACACCTCTTTTTTAATGTTCAATGATCTCTGAATTTTTTATCGGCCTCCTATTCCCCACTCAAGGGGTGCCCCACTTCTAAAACCTTTAATGTTTCTGAACTTTGGTGTCATTGACCTCAGACACCACTTTGGCTTCTATGGTCCTGCAGGTGGTGGTCTTCTGGATGGATTGTACTGGCTGTTGTCCAGGCATCACCAAGATTGAAGTCCTCCTCTTCTTCCAGCAGGCAGTAAGTGGCAATCTTGGCCTCCAGCTTAACCTTGATGTTCAGCAGGGCCTAGTATTCCTGGTCCTGGCACTGTACCTCTGCCCAGGTCTGGGCCAGCTCTTACTCCAGATGCAGACAGATTCTGTTGAGCTGTTCCATCTGCATGGCATAGCATATCTCCATCTCCCTCAGGCTGTTCTCCAACCTGGCTTCAGATTTCTCATCAAGTTCAGGTTGATCTCCAAGGACTCAACTGTATGTCTCAGCTCTCTGAGTGTCATCTCAGCAGTTCCCATCTCAGTGGTCTGCAAGGTGACCATTGTAGTGCTCTCCTCAATCTGCTGGGGCCAGTACTTGTCTCCATCCTCTGTGTTCTTCTAAGCCAGCTCGTCATACTGGGCCTTGATGTCCACCATGATCTTGTTGATGTCCTGAGATTTGGGGGCATCCAAATTCATGGTCAACCCAGAGTTGGCAATCTGGTTTTATAGACCATTTCCCTCTTCCTTGTGATTCTTCTTGAAAAGCAGCTCTTCCTTGGGAGCCTCAATCTCTGTCTCCAGTAATATTGGTGTCATCAGTAACCTTTCGGAGCCCGTTTATGTCATTTTCCATAGACTGGTGCATGGCCAGCTGTCTCATACTTGAATTTGAAATCATGAGCAGGAAAATGGTCATTGTCAAACTGCAGAACAATGTGGTATTGCCCACAGAACTTGCAAAGATCTGAGCCCTCAGGTCTTCAATGGTCTTGGAATAATGCTTCCAGTCTCTGGGCTCCCTTTCTCTCCAAATGTTCCCAAATTTTCCTCTCCAGTCTCTGATTATAAACCTCTAGACTTCTCACCCTCTCCAGGTTGGAGGCTAGGTGGTCATGCAAGCATTGCATAGTCTCCTTCATGCTCTGGATGCTGCCTATGCCCACCAGATGCCTGGCCATCCCTGCAGCTAGGCCCCTAGATAACCAGCTGCCCCTCCCCCAACACCAGTGGAGTGGGACACAGAGATCCGGGAGCTTGAGCTCCCCATGGCTGAAAGATGCTGGCCATGCTCCTGGCAGGCCAGACTCAGTGGCTGGGCAATGGCACAGAGCCCAGGGTCCTGTAGTTTGTGGAAAAGCTGGAGTGGGTGCTGAAGCACATGCTGTTCAGGAAGGAAGGCAAGAGTCTGAGACTCAGGTTCAAGCAGCAATGAGTCTGAAAGCACAACTCTTTACCATCTAAGTCTACTATATATTTGACCACTAAACAATGCTGCTTTGAAGAAACACATCTTTGGAATAGACAAGAACAGCAAAGGACAGATCATTGTATTTTACCATGTATAATGTGCACCCATGTTTTTGTATGCATTATGCATGGGATTATTATAACCATGGTATGTAATCATTATACCCATGTATAGTGTGCATTATTATCTTTCCCTCAAAAATGTGGGCAAAAAAGTACACATTATACATGACAAAATATGGGTAACTCAGGAGACTTTCAGTAAACTGACACTCAATTATGTGACATCCCCCCCAAATTTTCATGTGAGTGAACAATAAATTCTTCAGTGGAGCATTCTCTACTGTCCATCCTGGTCCATCCATTGTTCCAACTGTCCTGCACCATTTGTTATCCTGCACAGTAGCTTGGTGCTTCCCCGTTTCCTTCAGCTTGATTGGCAGTGGTTATGAGCATGGACTTGGGAGTTAAACATCAGAATTCAGTCTTCTCTCCACCACTTACACACAGTGTGGGATGTTAGGCAAGCTGGCTAGCCACCTATACCTCTTTTTTGTCCTCCTCTTCCATCATATTGGGATAATAATATTATTTCATTTATAGGATGCTATATTAAGTGAATCAGTACATGAAAAGCACTTAGAACAACTTAGCACAAAGTGAATGTTGTATGTTTGCCATTATGACCATTCTCCATCCCCATCAGTCACAGTTGCCAAGAGTCCTCCTTTCTCTTCCTGCCCCATTCAAGTGCCACCCTCTCCATGTAGTCCCACCAGACACACTGAGTTAAAATTCAGTGTCATTCCTCAATGTCATCACTAACTGAGGTTCAGCAAATGATACCCCATGGACAAAATCTAGCCTCCAGTCTGATTTTGAATGGCCCACAAGCTAAGAATTGTTTACATTTTTAAATAGTCACAAATAACATTCTGCAATACATGAAAATTGTATTAAATTCAGATTTCAGTTTTCACAGAGTTTTTCTACAACACTTCCCTATTTATTTACATACAGTCTATGGCAGATTTTTGCTACAATGACAGAGTTGAATCAAGTGACAGAGACCATATGCTTTGCAAAGCTGAAAATTCTTTCTCTCTGGCCCTTTAGAGAGAAAGGTTGCTGATCTCTGCACTGAATTAGGAGATTCTGGAGAGCAAGAACTGTATTCACTTTATTGTTGGATCATCCCCACAGCCTAGTAAAGTACTTGCCCTTGGTAAGAACGTAATAATTATTGCTAAATCATTGATAGTTCAGAATTAGTGCATGGTAAAATGGAACACAATTTCTGACCTTGATCTCCTTTTTCTCCATTCATTCCATCCTTCCCTGGATCACCAGGATGTCCTGGTTCTCCTAGGTAGAAAAGAAAAAAAAAGACAAAAGTTGAAGTTCCAATTTTTGTAGGCATTGGTCTCAATCAATGATGTAAACTGGAGAGTCCAGGGACTGACCCCCAGCCCTGACACACACCCCCCCTACAGATGTGCCGGTGGAGGGAGGCAGATGTGAGCAAGCAGCAAGAGTGCTGAGTTGTGTGAAAGATGTGAATTATAAAATGAATTTGGTGAACTTCCCAAGCACTCAGCTCCAAGAAGGCAGGACAAGAAGGGAGCATGTGCACAGATAATTACAATTGTGTTTTCTCATGTGAAGACAGCTCAGGACATGCCAACACATTGGAGGCGTTGTGTGGCTTTCTCATTTCTGCTCTTTTCCTTTGTTTCTTTTTATGTTTTAAATTTTATTTTTCAATTACAGTTTAAATGTAATGCTATTTTGTATTAGTTTCAGGTGTACAGCATGGTGATTTGATAATCATATCCTTTACAAGGTGTTCCCCCAGTATTTCCAGTACCCACCCAGCAGTATACATAGTTATTACAGTATTACTGACTATATTCCTTATGCTGTTTTTCATATCCTCATGAATATTTTGTAACTACCAATTTGTACTTCTCAATTCCTTCACCTTTTTCACCCAGTCCCCCAAACTCAGCTGCTCTGGAAATCACCATCAGTCTGTTTTCTTTGTCAATGAGTCTGTTTCAATTTTGTTTGTTCATTTATTTTGTTCTTTAGATTCCACATGTAAGTGAAATCATATGGTATTTGTCTTCCTCTAACTGGTCTATTTCACTTAGCATAATACCCTCTAGATTCATCCATCCCAAATGGCAAGATTTTATTCTTTTGTATGACCCAGTAATATTCCATTGTATATATACCCCAACTTTTTATATCCAACAATCTATTGATTGGCACTTGGGTTACTTCCATACACTAGCTATAATAAATAACACTGCAATAAACATGGGAGTACATATATTCCTTCAAATTAGTGTTTTGGATTTCTTCAGATATATATCTAGAAATGGAATCGATGGGTCATAAGGCAGCTCCATTTTTAATTTTTTAAATCATCACCTGAGGACCTGCTTATTGATTTGAGAGAGAGAGAGAGAGAGAGGGAGACCTCAATACAAGAAAGGAACACTGATCTCTTACCTCTTGTACATGCCCCAGCCTAGGACTGAACCTGCAACCTATGCATGTGCCCTGACCAGGAAATGAACCCATGATGTTTTGGTTTACAGGACAACACTCTAACCAACTGAGCCATACTGTCCAAGGTTCCATTTTTAATTTTTGAGGTTCTAACCTCAAAAGTTCTTACCAACAGTGCATGAGAGTTCCCTTTTCTCCACATCTTCACCCGCACTTACTATTTGTGGATTTATTGATGATAGCCAATCTCTTCATCTCTCTCTTCTTCTGTCACCCCTATGATGCAAATGTTGTTATGCCTCATGTTGTCATACAGGACCCTTAAACTATTCTCATTTTTTAAAGTTTTTTTCTTTTTGCTGCTCTGATTGGATGTTTCTGTTACTTTGTCTTCCAAATTGCTGACTGGATCTTCCACTTAATCTAATCTTAATCTAATCTGATTTAGTGTATGTTTCATTTCAAATATTGTAGTCTTCATTTTTAAACTAGTTTTTTTATAGTTTTCATTTCTCTTTTTATGTTTAATATCTATCTAAATTCTCACTGAACTCATCCGTTCTTCTGCTAAGTTTCTCAAGCATCATTATAACCATTGTTTTGAACTCTATATCTGGTTGATTGCTTGCCTCCATTTCATTTAGTTCTTTTTATGAGCATTTGTCCTATTCTTTCATTGAGGTATGCTTCTTTGTCTCCCCATTTAGGTTGCCTCTCTGCAATTGTTTCTGTGTATTAGGTAGATCTTCTATGCCTCCCAGTCATGGTATGGTGGCCTCAGGTAGTATCTTGTGGGCTTAGTGGTGCTGTCTTCCTGATGACCTGAGCTAAGTACTCCAGGAATGTCCTTCCTGTGTGTTATGTGACAGCTGCTGTTGTAATTGAGTCCTGATTGCTGTTCACTGGCCCTTCGGTGGGTATGGTTCTTGAGCTGGCTGTCTGTGAGGACTGACTCCAACCACAATGTAAAGCTCCTGTGTGGGGACTGACCTTATGAAGTGGAAGTAGCCTCAGAAGGCTCTGGTACCTGCTGAGATCTCCTTTTTTTGTGTGTCACTTGTGGAGTTAATTGGGTGTTGCTTTGATATGGTTTGAATCCCGCCACTACATGCGTTGGTTCTGGGGCTTCTTGGAACACAGATTAATGTTAGACACTTCCCGTGACTGTCCCTGGGCTACCTGTTTGGAGCTACAAAGTGATCCACAGATTGTGGCTGCCTGTGCTGGGCCTGGGTGTGTATGGGCTGACCTGTACACCAAGGCAGGCTTCCACCAGCAAGAATCCTAGGAGCTGGTCAGCAAAAGGCCCAAGGCATTCTCACATCTGCCTCTGCTTGTTGGCTGCCTGTGAAGCTCAGTCACTGAAAGAGGCTCTGGTGGGATACAAGTTGGGTGAGGTAGGTTCTCAGTGAGTCACCAGGTAGGGATGAGTGGTGTGCACCATATTAACAAAGACTCAAACTCGGTGCCCATGCTGGGACTGAGGCCACTCAACAAAAGTATCAGAGTGCACCACTTGCTGGGCACCTGTGGACCTTGGAGGGAGGCAGGGTCTCAGGTAGTCATTAGGGTGTAGCCAGCAGAGTTCATCAGGCCCAAACAGGCTAAGGTTTGGCCATGTGAAGGGAGGGCTCTGTACAGGAATTGTAGCATCAATTGGGCATGTGAGGGAAGAATGACCTTGCCCAAGGCTTTCCAGCCAAGATGAAGACACTTTGCTCGCAGAACCAAAAGAAGGATAACAACAAATTTAAAAACAAAAATAACAAGAACTGCCAAAAAAATTGAACTGTATGGAAGTCCTACAACCAAGGATTTAAAGAAGAAACATTCATTCAGACTGGTAGGAGGGGTGGAAGATGGACAACCTGGGTGGAGAGAACATGGTAAGGCAGGGGCTGGAGAACTGGGTGGGTGAGGTGGGTGGCAGACTGGGTGGTCTCACATTTGCATGCAGATATAACAGGTGGAACAACTGGGAAGCAAGACAGACCACACAATCCAGGGTTCCAGCGCAGGAAAAGAAAGCCACAAAACTTCTGACTGTGAAAATCTGTGGGGCTTGTGGCAGCAGGAGAAACTCCCAGCCTCACAAGAGGGTTTTTTGAAGAAATCCACAGGGTCCTAGAATGTATACAAACCCACCCACCCAGGAATCAGTACCAGAAGGGCCCAATTTGCTTGTGTATATTGGGGGATAGTGGACTGAAAGCCAGTTGAGAGCCAAGTAAGCATCATTGTTCCCTCTTGGACCCCTCCCTCACATACAGCATCACAACACAACAATGTAGGTTGCCCTTCCCTGGAGAATACCTAAGGTTCTGCCCCTTATCCCATAACAGGTGTGCCAAGACAAAAAAAATATGGCCCAAATGAAAGAACAGATCAAAGCTCCAAAAACAGAACTAAACGATGAAGAGATAGCCAACCTATCAGATGTGGAGTTCAAAACACTGGTAATCAGGATGCTCACAGAAGTGGCTGAGTATGGTCACATAGTTGAGGAAAAAGTGAAGGCTATGCATAGTGTAATAGAGAAAAATGCACAGGGAACCAACAGTAACAGGAAGGAAACTGGGACTCAAATCAATGGTTTGGAGCAGAAGGAAGAAATAAACATTCAATGAGAACAGAATGAAGAAACAAGAATTCAATAAAAATAAGGAGAGGCTGAGGAACCTCCAGGACAAATTGAAACATTCCAACATCCGAATCATAGGGGTGCCAGAAGGAGAAGAGGAAGCCCAAGAAATCAAAAACTTATTTGAAAAAATAACGACGGAGAACTTCCCTAATCTGGCAAAAAATATATAGACTTCCAGGAAGTCCAGGAAGCTCAGCATCCCAAAGAAGTTGGATCCAAGGAAGCGCACACCAAGCACATCATAATTACATTGCCCAAGATTAAAAATAAGAAGAGAATCTTAAAAGCAGCAAGAGAAAAGGAGACAGTTACCTACAAAGGAATTCCCATAAGACTAGCAGCTGATTTCTCTAAAGAAACCTTACAGGCAAGAAGTGGCCTGAAAGAAGTATTCCAAGTCATGAAAGGCAAGGACCTACATCTGAGATGACTCTATTCAGCAAAGTTTTCATTTAGAATGGAAGGGCAGATAAAGTGCTTCTCAGATAAGGTCAAGTTAAAGGAGTTCATCCTCACCCAGCCCTTATTATATGAAATGTTAAAGGGACTTATCTAAGAAAAAGAAGAAGATCAAAACTCCGAACAGTAAAATGGTAACAAACTCACAACTATCAACAAGTGAGCCTGAAAAAAAAAACAAACACAAGAAAAAAAGGAACTAAGCAAATGACTACAACAGGAACAGAATCACAGAAATGGAGATCACACGGAGGGTTATGAGTTGGGAGGGGGAGGAGGAAGAATGGCAGAAAAGGTACAGGGATTAAGAAGGGTAAATGGTAGGTACAAAATAGACGGGGAGGTTAAGAATAATATGGGAAATGGAGAAGCCAAAGAACTTACATGTATGACCCATGGGCATGAACTAAGGTGGGGGAATGCTAGTGGGAGGGTGGTTGGGGAATAAAGGGGAGAGGGGAATAAAGGGAAGAAAAAATGGGGCAACTGTAATAGCATAATCAATGAACTATATTTAAAAAAACAAAAACAAAATGTCTCTGCACTAGAGCCATACAACTCAGTCTCTCCCTCCTTGAGAGCCTTCCAGGAATGTCTGTGCTGAGGGCCCAAGCTAACCACAGTCAGCTGACTCCTCCTTAGGGTGTGAATTTGGCAGGGTGGGGCCAGTGGTAGTTGGGAGGATGAGGCTAGTGGATCTCCTGTGGGGGTGCTGTGTGGGTCAGGCAGATGCAAGGGAAATGGC